GATTCATCTGGACATGCAAAGCACTATATAGTGCAGCCAGGAATACGGTTGAACTCTTGAGGTCAGCAGTTCAACATTGTGCTGTTACGCCCATCTCAGATATTTCATTCCCTTGCTAAGTCCTCATCATGAGACAGACCGGTGGAGGCACGGCTGGTTCGTGATTTGGGAGATTTCTTCTTGGATGGTGTGCTGGAAAGGGACTTTAAAGGCTGTAACATCACTGCGCTGGAAGGGGACAGTGGGGCATGAGCAACCTGGAAGAGGTTGCTTTGGTCATCCAGCCCCAAAAACGGGGGGGAGTGATGGCAGGCTTGCATTCCCTCTGCATGGAAGAGCAGCAATCTAAGTCACCCCCATGCACACCCCTTCAAAACCCATTTCTTCAAACAAACACCGCTCTGGGAAAACAGCTGGTTGAGATAACCGGAGGTTTTGGGTGCTGGAGGCAGTTGGCCTTCATCTTTCTCACTACATGCACAAAATGGATTGTTATCTTCCATCCACTACGTACACCCGGCTTTGTTCACTGCCATCGGCACAATAGCTTTTAAGGATAGCCTCATCTTTGTTCACCTAGGAGGAAGTAATTGGTCAAATTTAATTCAAAGAGAGATCAATTAGAAAAGGTTGTGATAGACAGTTAGGTCACCGGCAACTCCTATAAATCGCAGGTAGAATTTCCTCCTTTGCCATATAGCAGTTTGATGTAGGTGATGGCTCATTTGCAAGCTAAAGGTTTAATTAGGAGAAAAAAAAGGTCAGCAGAGATCAGATGTGAATTGCAAAGTGCTAAAGAAGTTTACTGCAGCAACGTATTTATTGAGAGCCATGCTATAGATCTGCACCCTCTCTGCCCAGAATGCTAATAGCACCCCTTTGAATTCTTCCTATCAACAGAAAAATCATCGATAATATGTGGGATGCTTTAAAACTGTTTAGCACCCACTTTCTCTTTATGATAATCAAAGGGCTTTGCTAAGACCCAGAGAATCCCTTACCCATCTCGTTAATTGTGGATCCTTCTTTCCAGGTCGGGTTTCCAGAATGTGACACCTTTTGGGTCGCTGTTTCTTCTCCCATCCATCGTAATATGAGCTTTGCGGAGGGTATTTATTGCTCCTCCTCATCAGGGACATAGTCACGATGTAAATTGTGCCAGAAATACCAATGTGATGAAAATTCATGGTGTTTCTTCCTCACCTCACTGTGTTCCGGATGGTTTTTATAGGCGTGCAAACTGCAGAAATAAAGAGTTCTGTAAAAGCTCTCTTAAAAGCAATGGGAGCAATAGTGATGCGATTAGACGAGGTTTTAGCTCGTCGGCAAGAGTGCTGAGCTGGCCCAAGGCAGTAGAGCCTCAAGTCAAGCCACACTGTCGATCTCAGCCCCCAGGGTCGCCGCAGGCTGTGCTGGATACTTTTGGGGTGTGGGGGAGAGGGGTCCGGGGGAGGCTCAGCGGTGTTTCGGGTGCTACCGGCTCTGCGGGCGGCAGGAGGAACCGCACCCCTGCGCGTTGCTTCGGACGCTGGGATGTAGGGGACCGGTAATACGCCCTGACACGCTGCTGCTCCCGCGGACGAGGTGGGAAGCAGCATCACTTCATCCGCAGCTCCTGCACCCCGGGAAGGCTCCCGCCTGCTGCTCCCTTGTTCCCTGTGTCTCCGGGGGGTTCCCACCGGTGGGAATTGGCATCGGTGCTCTGGATGCGGCGGTACCACCACTGCCCTTCGCTGGGACCTCGCCGACGGGCGCAGATAAAGCTTCCAGCCCAATCTGCGCTGCGGCTGGGGCCGGGAAGGGTTCAAAGGGTGCTGCTTCTTGGCCAGAATCACTGGGGGTCCAAGCATCCTGAATTGTCCCCAGGAACACCGCGGTTTGGGGCTTCATTAGGTGTCATTCACAACTAATGACTCCGCAATAGTGTATGGCAGGATGAAGGCTGTGAAGGTCCGGAGACAGCCACCAAGGTGGAGAGGAATCAAAATGGCAGCTAGGCCTGGCTGGGAGAACAAGAGCAATGTTTCCAGTCACTTCCATTTTTCCAGTATCACTCAGCCCCACACCCAGTCTGATGAGAGATTGCAATTTTGCTTTAAGCAACGCTATACGAGGAAGGACAGATAGCAGATCAGATTGTAAACTGATGTAATTAAACAGGAGACGTTAATTCCCAGCACCTGAGACTCAAGTCCTCCGTGCAGCGTTGATAACACTAATTTCAGTAATTTCGGCAAAGCAAACTGTACGAACAATAGGCGGAGGACGGAGGAGGCTCTTCACTCTTCTGGAGGATCAGAAACTCGCAGCAATTATCAGTCAACAGTTCCAGCTGCCTGGTAAACTGTTAAGACTAGAGTAAACACATCACGGCTCTGAGGCTGGAAACAGAAGAGCTGTAATTATTTTGAAGTTTAACTATTGCCCCCATCTCCAGATACAGGGAGCGAAACGACGCAGACCCCGACGCACCCAGCTTCCGACAAGGACATGTGATGCTCCTCGTGCAGAAATTCAAGTGTGCTTCTAGGACGCTTAAGATTCAGGTGCGATGTGTATAAAGCATTAACCATTTCCTCCCCATGGCAGACAAAATCACATTACCTTGGGCAAGCCACATTCCTATTAAAAAAATCGGTTCCTACGAGCCTCGTAAGAGGAGCCAGAGATTCCTTCGTCTTTGCTGAGTGTGTGGGGGAAGTTCAGCTGTTCTGACAACCAAATCATGTTTGATATCATCCGAGCTGACTCGATAGAGATGTCAAATGGCAGAAGATAGCAGAAGTCTGCCTCGCAGTTTAATTGGCTTACACTTTTGTATATCCTGTTTTAAAAGTAAGGCCTTCAAAATGCGATTTGGACAAGTGAGTTGCGTGGGGTTTTATGCTGGGCCGTCTCGCAGTCTTCTCAGTGACAAAAACAGCGCAGCTTTGAACACAGGCTGTATATATGGTTGGATTTATGGAGTATTCATTATTTTAATAGCACTTATTGACTTAGGGTCAAATATCTTTTTCCAACATTTTTTTATTTAAGGAAAGAGCCCGTATGTCACAATCTCATGCCTCATCTAATTGGATAAGTGTTTCCTTTGTCCTTGAAACCGAAAAGTAGACCGCGTATCCAGGAGCTACAGAATGAAAAAGCATCTGCCTTTGGTATTTGGCATGCCTCAATTAAAAAACCCGCTGCCTGGGCTATCATTTTTTTTGAATTCTGACCAGAGCACTTCTGCTCAGATTCAAGCAGACAGTTCTGAAGGTCGAGCTAGGGGTATGTAAAAACACAAATCCTTTGGAACAATATATAGAACATTAACGTTTTACATACAACAGAAAAGAGGCCTGGATCCAGCAGAGCCAAGTCCGGAGTCATGCTGGAAGCACGGGAATGGCTCGCGTGCTCGCTCCCCCCCGAGCATTTCTGTAAGCTCCTGCTGGAGTGGAGCTCAGGTCCCCTCTCAAGACGTGACTCCCCTCCCTCCCAGCCCCACAAACCTGGTGCTCAATATGCACAAAACACTCCCATCTTTAAAAAATAATTGAAAAGGTGCACCCTAAAGTTCACTGGATCGATCCCTCTGAATTATTTTATTTAGAAGACACTTCATTGTGTCAAAGATTTAATGGAGAGGTTACGATGCCCAGCCTTCAGAATGTCAATGCATTAAAACAGAGCGTTGCAGGGAATGTTAAAATCCCCGGTAACATACGCCCAAGCAAAACTGCCAGATATATGAAATATGAAAATGATTATACAGAGTTTAGATAAGACATAGGCTGCTGGCAAAAAGCAGTATAGGGGCCAGAATCCTTCTGCATGTGTCTTAAGAGTAGTGGGATGAAATTTAGCAGCCTCGCTATGGACTCTTTTGCCTTTCCCTTACATCCCTTTGAGCGTTCCCTTCCCAAGCCACATCTTTTGAAATGTGTGTATTTTTACATGAGCAGTATTTCCCAGCACACTTGATTAAATACCTTCCCTTGTTATTTATTGCCCATTAAACAACATATCTTCTGCGTGTACCTTCGTCGGACAAAAGATCTTTGCTATCGAATGCAGACCTCAGCATGTCTTAGGCCAGAGCAGTTTACTGCAATGATCTCTACGTGGGGCTGCAGCTGAGCAGCACTGAGAAAACTCCGGCAGCATAGATCAGGGTTCTCTGCTTATTAAGTGGCATTTCTGGTATATGAGAATTACCCTACTTTACTACATTTCTTGGTGCATGCGATAAGGTTATAATACAGAAGATGTCCAAAGGTTTTTTTTCCTCTCTCCTTGGGGAATCTCTCTCTTCGGGTGCTGCAGGAACAATTGCGAACCACCAAAGTACTTCTAGGCTGTAAAGTTTCAAGTGAAACGGAAGGGCGGGGGAAGGAATGACAAGTCCTTTTTACTGAAATTCTCTCCCCAAATGGATTTGGCAGAGCCCGGCTCTGCTGATCTTACAGCAAGGTTTATCATTTGTGCAGGCTGCTGCCTGAAGGGGGAAAAGATCTTTGAAGTTGCTGAATGATGGAAGGGTCTCCCCCCTCCTCTCCCTCACACACATTTTTTAAGGGTGGAGACTGGGAGATGTTCAACTGCCCTGAGTCAGGAAATTACATGACAAATTAAACAATTATGTGTTTTAGTGCTGAGCATCTATTTAGACATTTAGCATCAAACATGCATTTAGCATGAATTCCATGGGCATTTATACTTTTCCCGACCCCCTGCACCTACACTGCATTATTTTACTGCATGTCTAGAGCTCCCCCAGTCCAGCATCTACACCTTGAAGAGATTTCTTTATCATTTAACTTTATTACAGAGGCACTGCCTGGACACTGTTGGAGTGACAAGGACTATTTCCTTAATTACTGTACATTGATAATAGCATTTACTCTGGCAGCTCCAGTGCTATTCAATCAAGCAAGATTCAATACAAAAAAGCTGATTTGCCAAAAAAGAGATTAGCATAAGTGCCTACAGTCACATTCTATTTTTGAAGGTAAAGCTACTGTGTCTGTGAGGTTTCTTGTGGGAACTTCATAAAGAGAGATTAATCTAGTTTATCTCCTTCAAAAGATATTTGGGGAAATCGCAGAGAGTCACTGTTTTAGGCTCTTCTGGTAATAATTTTCTATAAACATGTAAAATAAAGAACTGCACAGGAAGTGCTAATCAGCAGCAGGAAGGTATATTTTTTTCTCTCACGTGGACGTAGACATTTGTTGTGAAAAACTCTATGTTCCCCCATTTGCTATTGCTGTTCTTTGTCATTTAATCAAGTGGTGACTGTAGCTGTTGCACTTTAAAATTAAATGCTATTATTTATGGTAGAACTTGCTCTAGTTAAAAATGCAGACCTCAGCACTGTGTACGTTTGTAAGCAGAAGGTTAAGCAGGACATTTTAAATGGTAAAGCAAAGGGCTTAATCAAGGCTGAAGAGCAAAATGCTGTGGGATAACAGATATAGTAAATAGGCATTAATCACCATACAGGCTTAATCCAGGTATTAGGCAGTCTTGGGGCTAATACGAAGACTCACTTACATAAGGACTCATTCTACCAACCCTTAAGTAAGTGAATAACTTTATTCTTTGGAGAAATTTCATCAACGTTAAAGGCTCTTGCAATATCAGGCCTACATTATGTCTTTGCAAAATGATCATCACACAATTGTTTTGCCTGAAGGGGATTTCTCAGTTAGGAGGCACATAGGGGGTGTGGTTCAAGACAGGAAAAAAAATTGAATCGCCAGAGCATAAGGAGCCACTTTTCCATGTTGGTTTTTTTTTTTCCCCTTGACACTGTCTATTACTGTGACATCAAAATCCCAGCTAAGTACTTCTTGCCAAAGATGGACCAGATAAAATCACGAAGCCAGTATCATCTCATGGGAGACAGCTCACTGTCTTAGTGACAAATTTAGTGACTACAAATCCAGGCTTAGAACATAGTCCTTCCCTGGTCATAATCCAGCACTTGCACATTGGATTTGCGTTTAACTACTGATGAACTAAAATTTCAGTTTCAAGAAGATAATAGCACATCCATAGGTATGAAATTCGCTATACAAAAGTTCTTTTATTAGATGCTTAGAAAGATTAAAGTGCTTCCACGTTTAACTTAACATCAAAAATTCCAACTCTTTATACAAACAGACATGTTGTATGCACTGACACCAGCACACAAATCCCAGCCTCCGGCCCAGGATGGGTTTTGGCATCCTGGTCAAGCTTGCCTTTACCTAGCCCTGAAACAGACCAGGCAGACTCACAGTAAGCACAACATGACCTAACCTGAGGAAAGGGGAAGGAGATGGAAGTGGGGAATGGGGTAGATGGCCACAGTTTATCTATTCAAGGAATAACAAGATGAAAAAAATCCACAAACCTTTAATTGTGAATGTAGGAGAGGGACAGTGATGTAACTGTTCCCAGGGAACACTATTCTTATTTTGTAGAGGGAGGTGAGCCAAGATACTTAAGCTCTAGAGAACCTTTAACACAGGAAGCTATTTATCATAACAAGCTTGGTTGATACTGCTCCCATACTGAACCAATTAGATTAGCCTATTTCGTCATACTTCATAACTTGGGATGATAGGTTTCCAAGCATGGTACAGTGCAGTAATTGAATTTTGATCAAACACACATGGCCCATAACCCAGTATGTGAAACTTTCAGAACAGTTCACAGCTTTTAAATATCCAGTCAACATGTTGCCAAAAGTACAGGATGTACTTGATGCAAGTGGGAGAGGAGGGGGGGAGCACAAGTCCACGCCGTAACTTGGTACAGCTGTAAAACAAACATTTTTTTGTTCCGATTCTGTTCCTACTTTAGCAAAGGAGCTGGGAGGAAGACAGTGAATGTCAAGTAAGTCGTTTTTCTCCCCAACCCCCACACCCCCCAGGCACACGTTTCCCTTTTAACATTCTTAGATTACCACAACCTTTTAAATTCACTATACTGTACTTACATACTGTATTGGACACACCAGCAATTATGTTTGTTAGCATGACATATCCATTGCTTACACTTAGTTAACAAAATAACTTAAAAGTCGCATGCATCATCCTCTTAATAGGGTTATAATCAATGGGACCATGGAATGCAAGCCCTAAAAATTACCCCCCACCTCTGCATTCCCCAGGCTTCTGCCTCTGCCAACACAATCCATATGGTGGGCAGTCTTGTCAGGCTCAAGGTGAACACTCAGTCAGTTCTTCGCAGGCAGTGATCTCCTCTTACATGTTCTTGCCATGTTTTCTCCACGGTAAATCCAAGGAACTTTGAAGAAGACTCTGTGTAAAGGAAACAGAATACATTAATAAATTCATTCCTACTGCTCTACTGACTAGGGGGCAAAGCACCCACCGCAGAACAGGTTCATGACATGGAAAATGCTGTGCCAGACTTTCTTTTGAGCAAGTAATGGCTATCCATATCAAAGCTGCTCTCTGGCCTACAGCTAAGTCTGGCATGCTTAAGCAATGGAGCAGGATATCCCCAACCTCTGCACATAGTGCTGCCAACTTCTTTCTCAATTTTGAATGCTTTGACCTGAAAGGCAGTTGGAGGCAGCTCCAGGCATCTCAGCTACCCGAAGGGGAAGCACCAGGGCAGCCAACACCTTCGCTTTCATCGAGGTGGTGCAAATGACATAAAAGATGGTAATTACTGCTACAGCCCTGCAAAGAGTGTAGGATCTGACGGTTCTAGTTGCACTCTGTGGATCATCTGCCTCCGAGCCGTCTCACACACCTGTTCTGGAGTACAGCTGTGTAAGAGAAGCAGCCACAGGTTCCAAGGGGAGAAACGGTGCTTTTCAGATGTAACAAAATGCACATCTCGTTTAGTCTTGCTGTTGGTTGGGGACAGGTATACTGCCCGATTACAGCCAGCACCCTGTCAGAGCAGAGAGGATGCGCTGGATCCATCTCCCTCCCCGCCCCACTCCCCGCTAAGTTACGATGCTGCAGAGAAAAGAAAAAAAAAAAAAAAAAGGAAAAAGAATTTGGTGTTCAACTTATCAGACTTGGACCAAGCCTCAGCTCAAACCAAGGTTAAATAGGCCTGTTCTAAGCCTCTTAAAGATAGGATTTATATAGTAATTACAGTAATGGAAACTGATCTTTATAATTTTTATACTGCCTAAAATTCTGCTGTGTCATACGCATCTGCAGAGCCTGAGAACTGTGCTTCTCGGAGAAAGCACTGCAGTCTTGAAAGCAGCCATTCAAATGTATAATGGAGAATTATCGGAGCATGAGTGTTTGAGATTATAATGAAGCACGAAGAGTAAGAATCAGAAATCCTGGGAAAAGCAAGGAGTTTGTATTTGAGACAAGCAGTATTTTTTTAAACACTATTTTGTTGGGAGTTTATGGAACTAGATCTTCATCACACACAGTGCAAACAGCATTGAGACTGCCCTTTTTATTCTTACATTTCCTTTCTTTTCCTTTGCCACAGTCTTAGGTCTAGAGAGTAAGCATAGTGCAAAATGCATCTTGGCCAGACAGAATCCTCACATCCACTTTCCAGTTTTCTCTGTTGTGCAAGGAAAAATACCGGAGTGCTAAGTCCTTGCTGTATGATAAAGAACAACTTCAGAAGATTTGGAGATCTGATAGGGGGTTTGGCTCCACCTTCAGGAAGCAGAAGGCAAAGAGACAACACGGTTTTAGGTTTCAGGCATACTTTTGCAGAAACTGAAGCCTACAATCCCCTCTTATTAACATCTACTGCTCCCCAATGTGTCTTTGCTTCGTATATATAAATGATACCCTGATCTGATGCCGTGACATTTCTACATACTTGATTCAACTCTGAAGAGTCCAATTCCTCCTAGAGGTACTTTGAGAACTTGTGGCAGGATGTCCAAAGGTAGCTGATACATGAACGAGAGTCAACGAAAAGCAGCTCTGAGGTGAAAAAAAGAAGTTGTGACACATAGGATGTCGTAGAGCTGTATCAAATATTATTAATCACTTACTTACACTGTCAGTACTAAGGTTTCCATACAGAACGCAATTTTCTCTTATAATTCACAGAGATTAGAAACATTCTTTGGGTAACACAGATGGATTGAGAGGAAGAAAGTGGGAAGAGTCTTGATCAAATTTCAGTCTAGCAAAACACGTAAGCATATGCCTAAAGTTAAGCTATTTTTTCTCCTCAAATTCAGGCAGAAGATGCAAACAGAATAATCTCTTGTATTTCACCTCTTGGCAGACTCTGATGCAGGCTGAACCCAGAACATAGTAGCTGGTTAAAAAGCATGATTTAAATGAACTAAAATGATGCATTTTTTTTAAAGAAGCCATATAGTGACCATGCATAATAATGAAAATGGCAAAGTAAGTAGTTAGGGATGAGATGACGCTGAGTTTGAAAGACTGTATGATGTATTAGTGAAATAATAGGCAATCACACAATTAGTGACAGTCCTATGAGGCAATGGAAACGTATGGTTGCTTGCAAAACCCTGCCTTTGGCATTTCCCCAACTGGGTGCTTAAGCACCCAACCTTATTGTATTCAACATCATTTTCTGGAGGAAACAGGTTTGAAAACTGCAGAGCAAGCAACAGGAATGGCTCTCAGTGCAGAAATGGACTAAACACCTAATGAATCTAAAAATAAAAAAACCCCAAAACACTGAGAAGAGATGCAAGAAGTCTGAATAGACATAGCTGTGTAAGCAAATATAACTGAATATACTCTTGAGGAACAAAGGAAACAATTCTTGATGGGGTGACAACAGATGTTCTCCAAAAAAATTCTAACGGAGCATTTCAAACACAAAGACCTTCCTGTGGAGCTGAGAAGTTTTACTGGCAGACATACAGTAATACATCTTTGGAAACATAATAAAACCTAACATTTAAGGTGTTATCAGGTCCTGAAAGCAGAAGTGATATCTTCATGTAGTAAGTGGTGGGTGGTGGTGGAGAGGAAAACAGTTACGATAACAAAATACTGTCACAGGAAGTTGCCATAGCATAGTTGTGATTTAAATCACAGGAGAAGTAACTAGTCAAGAGATTTTGTTCTAAAATATCTCTAAATCCGCTCTTTTGGAAAACGAGCTCTAAACACAAGTGAAAGATGCACAGGTTGACCTATCTGAACAAATACAATCCAGAGTAATTTATTAATACAGTAAGCACACCTAAGTACAACCACTTCTGCACTGTGTGAGTGAATACAAAGTGCCCAAAGCTGAATGTTTCTACCAGCTACTGCTTTTTCAGATCATGGTTAAGCACGTTGCAGAAAATCCTAAAACGGACATTAAAAAAAAAAAAAGGGACAGGTTTATGGAGTCATTTTTGCAATGACTGAACTGCACTGGTACTTAGAGAAGATTTGGATTTAACTCCTGGCATAGATCTGCAGCATCTTCAGTGAATAGCTTTATACAGGTTTTTAAAGGCTAGGCACTTCAAATTCTTTTTTTAAACTCTGGCCTTTACTTTTTATGTTCTTTATTTTTACAGATACAGAATAATACTTCTCAGTCTTGTTGGAATGTTGAAAGGATTCCTGAATACCTGCAAGGCCAGCAGTTATCATTTTATCTCGGAACGAGGCAGGAGGATGACATAGTACATTGTCTAATCATTTTTATTGCTTTGCAACTGTTTGGGGGAAAACAATTCAGAGAGAAGACTATTCCAGCGGAGTCAGAGCAATCAGAACTACAGAAACACTAGGATGGACAACTTGATTGACAGGAGAAAGCTAAAGCAGGCAGCAACACAGAAAATCATCGTAGGACAGACATTTTGATAAATATTACTGTAGCCAATTTATTATTAACACAGTGGGACAGCTTTACATCTTGCATCACACTTTTCACAGCCCTTATGGTAAACATGCCATATCTGACAATTACAAGATGAAAACAAAGACCTCACTAACTCTCTACTGGCCTGCAGTACTATCTGCTTACTCAGTTAACTCTCTCTAAACTTCAGCTAGGCAACTAAACAAGCCTATAGAAAGGCAGATATGAGTGTTCAGGTATATATCATAATTCCAACAGTATCCAAGTTTCAAAGGTTAAGCCATCTGTGGCACTGATTTCTAAAAGGCTTCACAGACAAAGGAGAGGGCTGTGAAAGAAGTGGAAAGTTGTTAGTACAAGATAGAGGATCAAGTGGAATACCATCTAAAGGGAAGAGAAATAAATTTTTGCTAAGGCTCGAAACATTGCTCTGTCTGGTCACCCGTGGCTTCATTCTGACTGCTAGGACAAAGCAGTGCAGTCCTGACAAGAGCATGCACTGGTATCACAAACCAGAGAGCATCGGGATGAAAGAATCCCATAGCAGTTCTTATTTCCTGGATTGGTTGACACACATCTTCTGTTTCTACAGAAATGCTGTAACTTGGAATAACAAATCTTTCTCTCTGCTGGCTACTTGGTTTCTGGGATTAACAAACTATTTGATGGGCCTCATAACTAATCATATTTTCATCTGATTCAGACAAAATAGCTCCCATATTCTTTTACGGATAATGAAGCACAAGATGGACTGCTGAAAGTCAAGCCCTCTGCTACTTGTACATGTGGAGACAGATTTTAGAACGAAATCTGGTGTGATGATTTGCCCAAGGCTATTTTTTTTATTATAATGTCCATGGTATCTTCCTATTTTCACAGCTTCAGGGTTAAAAAACAAAAAGCAGACAAGTCACAGGATGATCTTAGCCACGAGATTTTATTTGATTGAAACATTTATTTTCCATCCACTTCCTGTCTGTTTTTGAAAGTATTTCAGGAAACAAAACTGACATGCACAAAGAGCATTCAGTGAAAGAGAGACAAAAGGGAGATGCAACAAATATCAGGCAAGTGAACAAAGCTAACAGAGCGTTCTTGTCTCCTTGAACCCACAAGTAAAATGCATGTTAGCAAGTATTCCAAAACTCCGTCTTTCTTGCGCAAAGGAAAGAATTAATGTTAAGCACAAAGTATTCTTTGTGGTTTATTCTCATTACGTGGTATGTCAGGTTACACTGATTTGGAAAAAAACAGCTTTACAAAGCTTTCTGTGCAACAGTCCCAATGTAGGTTTAAAAGAGAGTAAAACCCACAAATTGCACTTTTAAAAATCAATTTAGGAATCTCATTTTTTGTAATTCCCTTAAAAATACCACTTGTGGACACATTAATAACATTTTGAAAGTTTCATCTGAAAAACAAAAGAATAGCCCAAATTTTTGAAAAAAAATCTACATTAAAGTTTATATCATGTGGATTTCTCACTACGTTACTGCTGGTTTTCATTAGAAGGTGAAAGGAATGTTTAAAATTGGTCAAATAACATGAAGATTCTGTTGACATGTTTTCTGTCTCTGTGTGTATATACTTTTCTTTAAAGGAACATCTAGGTAAATCTTGGTTGTCCTAAGGACTTTGGTCAAACAACTTTGAAGGACACAGAATTTATTTCACTGAAACACAACTGATCTAAAATCAGAACCTTTTAAGGGCTTTATTAGTACAAAGAATTCACTTTTTTGACATTCTGTAGCTGTAAAACACATGCACCGATTTCTTTTCAGAAAAGGATGTATTTCACCATGGATGGTTGCAAGGAAGGGGAAAAGAAAAAAAAAAAATCAAAATAAGCAGAACGATTATTTCCTATTCTAACCTCAGGGCACCCCAGCATGCACCCTCCTTTTTTGTGATGTGTCATCTACGGTTCCATTTTTTATGCATCCGTATTTCTACTGTTGATCAGCACTGACCAAATTTTGCAACTTGACCAAAATTTGTCTTTAAGCTTTACAGAAATAATTATTTCAATTAATAGAATTTCACAGAATACACCAGCACAAGATTTAGGGCCATCTGGATTTTAACTAACAGGATAGAAAGAAAGGCAGTTTCTGTGGTTTGGGATATTTAAGTTCATTTACAAAATGCCACACATAGTTATGAAAACAGACACCAAATGTAATCCTGGCCCATCCATGCTCAAACTCTCATCAATTTCAATGGACTAAATATCAGCATAGTTGTTCTGAACAACTCTTTCTCCACCTCTCTGTAACACTCTAAATTATACTTACAGACACAGAACAACATCAGTGCAAATTGTAAAAGTCTGCACATTTCACAAATGTTACAACTTAGCAACAAACTGTGCTCACAGAAACAGAGCAGTCACAAAGAAACTCGGCACCTTTCAGGTAAACTCACTCACTTGAGGAATTTTCATATTTTATCATCTTTGTTCGATGTACATTTAATATGCAGTTCTGATGAAGTGTAATTAATAAGTCGTCAGCAATTTCAGTGGACGACTGGATCCATCTGTAACAATAAAATGCACCTATGCATTTGTGACACTTACTGCCAGGGTTAAGGATAGGTCTGCATTTTCCTGAATGTTGCATTGGTAATAGTGAGCCGTGTAAGCCTTGCTCCATAGTAATCTATAATGTAACTAGAGCCATCGGAAGGTCCGACAATCTACAAGAGAAAAAGAACCAAGACTTTTCAACATGAAGTGAAATATACACTTTGTGCTAATGTCTCAATTACTGCTAATTTTCCCATCATAAAATTAGTCATGCTTAATTAGTCAAACAGAAACTAGATTTATTTTGAAGTTATGCTGTAGTTTAACTATTTTAGCGAGCACTGTCTCAGGAGGAACATTTCCCTAGGGCTTCTAATCAACCAAATTACACAGCCAGGCGCTGGTACTAGGTTAAGCCGATGCGGATTTGAGTCACAAAATCAGGCTAACAAATGAGTGGGCTCCAAACCACCTTTCTTGGATGATGGAGGGTAGGCAGGAGAGAATTAGGTTGATGACAGGTATCTTTGAAATACTGCACAGGTAAGGAATGGAGAGAAGGAGAGAAGATCATGGCTTTTTTGTTCTGGAAAGGCTAAATTGATGTGGGGTCACCAGGGAGATGAATAAAGGAGAGAAGAAAGATACTCTCAGCTGTATCTGTAAGTGATCTGAGGCAAGATCACTGCGATAGCATGGAAAGGAATTTGAGAATGCATATCATTTAAAATATGTACATACAAAGATGCATACTTTAAAAATATTTTTCTATAAACCCACACAAACATTTCCTATCTCCACAATGCATTTTAAGTTCATCATAGGCAATTTCAATTCATGCTAAATGGATGCACTATATAATAAGACAATTTTGCAATGTCATGACGCCACAAGACGTCACCCCAGCTGAGGATTTAACCATCATGAATCCCAGAGTCACAGCTCTCAGGTGATATGGGACTTGTATTTGGAGGAGGGGCAGAAAAAATAAGCGGCAATGCCTTCTCTCCTGCACACTGCATGGACACCCCAGATGATGGACTCCATCAGCATAAAGCACATGCAAACACAGAACTTTAGGATTCTGGGAACAGCAGGATAACTCATGCAAAGTCCAACACTGTGTCACAAAGAGGTCATAGGTTCTGACAAAGTGAATTGATGGTGTTATATCTTCCAAGCTATTCATTACAAGTATTTATAGATAGCTAATCTAATTTTTTAATTCAAACAATAAATATATTGATATTTTGTGTCCATATTCTACAACATCAGTCTACAAACAGAGCTAAAATAAATGCCTTTATTTTTCAATACACAAAGGTTCTTAAGGCTAAAATGCTAACAAAGAATTAGCAATCAAATCAAAGCTTTAACAAACACAGATTTGTATCTTGTTTTGAAAGCCCTGACTTACCTGCATTGAAATAAGTATGAAATCAATTAGGCTACCAATTCCACAAAATCCTACAGTGCAGAACTTTAACAAACCTAAAAAAGGAAAATAAAATTTAACTGGAGCTTTAAGCCAGTCACTATGAAGTTCATAGGTTTCTGGTGGCAATCACATCCCAACTTTCTCCCCACCCTGCAAAATATATATGTGTGTGTGTATATATATATATATATGCATGCATCTAGAAACAGACCTAAAGTCAAAAGATCTTTAATTACCAGGGAAAAACCACCACATATTCATATTTCTACATCCTGAATACACGGTAAAGATTTTAAACATTAACTTTTTTTTTTTTTTTTAAACAGATAAATATTCTTAAACAAAGGCAGGCAAAAGTTGATAAGCAAGTTACTGGAAATTTTCCTTTCTTTGACTGAGGCACAGACAGAAAAAAATCCCAACTTGAGGTGCAAAATTTACTTACGAATAGAAAGAGACTTTCTACCATCTCATGAATTGTAGCACATACTGACTTGACTTTCAGAACATGCTCTTTGGAGAACAATCCTTTGTATAATTTTTATATTTTTGCTGAAATTGGAATTTATTTTGAATATATATACATATATATTTACACTTCTTTTTAACCAGTATTCAAAAATGTTATTTTTCTATGAATAAATGAAAGATTAATAGAAAATATATGGGAATCGCAACTAACAGATGAATGTTTCATTGGAAGTTGCCATGCAAGGCAGACTTCATTTGGAAAATGCCTTCGAAAGAAGGAGGCTGTCTTAATTTTTATTATTTTTTTAATATCAGTAGTTTCTTGTACAATAAATATAATGCAATGAGTACTATATATATTGTAAGTAATACTTCAGCTGAACTTCAGCAAACCTCTAGGTTATTTTGAGAATGAGATACTCATTGTGAAGACATTTATCTCTTTACCCAGGTATAGACAGTATGAAGAGGAATGCGTATCTGTTGCATTTAAGTCAGTTGTAGGCTGTGCTGTATAGGGAAAACACAGTTCCCTGCTAAAAAGCATACCCTTACCGTGCTTACAAGGGCCAGCACACTTCTGAGGCAAGAGAGAAAGCATGTTGATAACATCAGCCAGTGTGGCATCCCAGAGCACCTCTTCCCCACAGCCACAAGTTGTGCTGTGCTGCATAATACCTGCTAGTAAAACCACGCAGCTGTCTTCCAAAGAACGGGCCTGCTCTCTGTCAAACACCTGAAGGTCTCCTGACCTCCGCCTCCTCCTTTGTGCTCCCCCTCTCTCAGAAGCAGCAATCTGTCCTGCATACCACCTCCTCTCCCCCATGCCCTGTTTATGAGGCTGCATATGGAGGAGAGTGGGGGAATAACTGCATGCATGCTGCAGGAAGAGCATCCCACTGTCTGGATATAGCTCCCATAGTTGACAAGATGAAACTAGCCTGATTTATAAACTCCAGGGAGACAGTTTAAAATCTCTCCATGGAGCAACACAGTAGTCACAGAGAACAGGGAAAAATACCTAATGACCAAGAAGATGAAAGAGTAGTAGCAGGATGGTCTTTCAGCTGATTAGAAGAAAAGCCTACGTGCATATTACAACTAAAGTGGTGCCACTTAAATGTGCAAAAACCCAAGTATATAATTTTTTAAAACAGTTTGTTCCCAGTGGCTGATGCGCAAGACTTGCAGCAGCCAGACACAGTTAGCCTGCCTATCAGTACTGGCAGCAGCGTAACAAAACATAAGGGAAACAGCCAGCTAAAGAAATGCTAGCCTTAGGAAACAACAGTTAAGACAATTAAATAATGTCAAACTCTGGTGAACAGTTTACTTTGTTATTACCTGCATCGAGTGCAGTCACCATTTAAGATACTTATTTGTGACACTCCTTATACCGTCTCCTCTCAAGCTGTGGTCCTGAACCTCACTGCCAGTTGGCATTTTAGCAACCCAGCAGTTGTCTTACCATTGCTACTACTCTTTCATCTTCTTGGTCATTAGGTATTTTGGTTCCAGCAGCAGCTCCAGTTTACTTGAGGAACTGGCTGCTCCGTTATGTTACTGGATATAAAAGAACTGTTTCTGAACCTGGCATATATTTCTGAAGTGCAGGGTAAAGTTGATCTTTTTCTTCCTCCTCACTTCCCTCCCTACAAGCAGATCACACTGAGAAAATAAACTGCTGTAAAGCATAGAGGGAAAAAATAGTGCTCTTACGCAGTAATAACTTATGGTTTAGTTCACAGTGTGTGGGAGAGGAAGAGGTTGCCTTCCTGATTTCTTCATATTCAATAGCTTGTTTGTATTTGTACGCTCTTTAAGCAAAAGAGGGGAAAAAAATAAACCAAAGAACATTTACAGTCTTCATTACACTTGCACAAAATATTTCAATGCTATTAACCTTTCTTAATCATTTTTTGCCAAGGCATGGATGACATAAAAAATCCCCAATCAACCACTGTCAAGGAATCCAATGTATTGATTATTTTTTCTTTTCTACTGTAACCTATTTGCTTCTGTCTTCCTTAACTTTCAAAAGCTTGAAAACCTGACTTTTGAAGAGTTTAATTTTAAGTCTTTTAACTTTGGTTACTGGCTACAGTATATTCCAGTAGGGTTAACAAGCATGAGCATAAAGAACTCCTATATAGGAATGGAGGATTTATAAATCTAAATTACTACAATATATTACAAAATAATTACTGCAAATTATTATTCCAAATCCAGTGGTATAACAAAAAGGTGGACCTTATTGACCGCTTCCAAAAATGTACCTTTTTCTGAAACAGATGGACAAAGTAAGTGCTAATTATAGAACCTCAGGGAAAAAAGACATAGATGTTAACGCAAGATTATCGAGAAGGACAGATAATGTTATTAAAAAAACCCAAGCGTTTGCATTTAATGGTCAGAAACTCAGAATTCCTAGCTGAAGTGACAGTAACATGTATAGCTTTTTCCAACTCATTACTCCATGCTATCTAGACTTAATTTTACTCCATTTGTCCAGCTCAGAAACAAAGCCAGTGAAAGTAGTTCTAACGTACTAAGGTATTTCCATTATTTAAAAGCCAGTGGCACCACCACCCTGGGATTCAGGTCCTAAAAACACTAACCAGAAGTAGGTCTTATTAAAGGTCCCAGCTTCTGCAGAACTGTTAATACCATGAGCTATCTTGAAGGTATGCATTTGCCAGAATAAATTCCATATCCCAAAACACTAAGTTTACTGTAAAGGTTGTCCACTATTTTCCTGGTAAAATCAAGCATCATTTAAGTAGCTGTCACATGAGTCAAAACCACTTCTGTTTCAGTGCCTCACAAAGAATGCTGTGGTAAACATCAGTGCAAAGCAAACATAAAGCAAAACTATGAATAGCAATAATAATGTTTGCTTATTAGGATTTTATCTGTTGGACAACTATATATCCATTTGTCACCACTCACTCCAACAGAATAGCAGGCTCAGGATAATGCAGGATTTTACCTTACTTGACAATAAAGTAAGGATTCTAGTTGTAAATATTAAAACTTGACTGTCAGCCTTCATTACTCAAAATATAAGTATACACATATAACTCAGTCATAACAATAAGCTTTACCTCAAAGAAAAAATAAGAAATAAACTTACCTAATGCAGGATAGCCTAGATAAAATCTATCTGCTCCCAACCATCCAAGAAATAAGGACAGAGCCACTGCCACTTTGTAGGAGTATCCATTTCTGCCAAAGAAACAAGTAATGTAGACAATGACTGCAAAATATATTCACTCAATACTTTTGAGAATTAAAGTAGTGACTCATTTGCCTGCTGCTTCAGTTTAAAAAAAAAAAAAATCAGACTTGTTATTTATCTTCAATTAACGGACACAGAATTGATAATGTTAAGCTTTCAAACTGGGTAGGCATCCTCCATAAAGCAACCTCAGCTGTTGCAACTCAAGTATACTCTTACAGAATACAGATCATTCTGAAACTAAATCATGATTTCTTGTCAAGACATAATTCAGTTGCTGATACATTCCCAGTTTCACAGAGTATTTCCTAACAGTTCAGCCCTACTGAGACAACCCTAGAAAGCTAAGAGGTGTATGCATACTGTCTGTAGGCATTAGTCTCACATGCAGCCAAATCGAGAGGAACAGGATAGACAGGTGAGATGTCAGCAGAGACAGCAATTGCAATGAGATCTGAAGGAGAAATGAACCATGGCCACTGGCTGAAGAAGCTGCAGGAAGGATTCAGCAAAAAGGGTAAGTCATGTATCTATTTACTACACTCTAAAGGTAGTAAACGGCACAAACTCACAAATGAAAAGAACTGCTGATGGTACAAAGATGTACAAGTCAAGCATCCCACGGTTAGTCATACAAAATAAACAGATGCAACAGACTTTTTGAGATTTACACTAATTGGCACCATTCTTGCCAGCTGCTGCAGTGATGTGGCCACCTAACCGCCTGTAACTTTCAGTCACTGCTGATGTGAACTTTACACTAATAAGTGAGCTAGAAACATACAGCTATCAATATTAGAACTTGCTGCATCCTTTGCTGCATTGGCGAACAGCTAGCTTCTGAAAAGAAAAGCAAGCCCAAATGTAATTAGAACTTTAAAAATATTCAATAATTCACTGTTTTGATACGTGCACTACTATGTGCCAGCAATTATTTAATAAGCCCAAATTAAACTCTTAGTTGACAGTTGAATAAAACACAGAGTTTCACAAAGACAGTAGCTGAGAAAGGTCCAAGCACCTTTATTAAGCACTTTCAATGCCAAATAAAGATCTACCTTTTTGCTTATTATCTACATTTACTGACTTTAAAATTTAATGGCAACATTAAGTGATTAAATCATGACTCTTACCTCAATATTTGTTACTTAGTGCTTATTAGCAACACAGAACATACTGGGCATTCCTGGAAGCTAATGTAACGTAAATTATCATCTTTAGAACTGTCTTGTTTCCACTGTAAAGAACACTAATGGTTTTATTTAAAAGTTGAGGTAAACTGTTGGAAATTTTTTATCCACTACAAAGTGTCAACAACCCTCCAAGGACACTAAAGCATAAAAAGAGCTCTTACACAAAAGGTGGGAACACAGTTTAATTTGAGATGCTCCTGATCAAAACTAGTAATAAACTGAGCACTCGTCTATGCATTGAGATGCTTTTAAAAGCAGAACAGTCTGCAACCCAGTCAACATCAAACTGACAGGCAGAAGAAATCTAGTATAAAGTGGAAGCATGTTAATACCGTAACAAGGCTGCATCCACTCTTGTATTTCCTTTGTCTTACTTACTCTTTCAGATAAAAACATGCACTGAAGACTAAACCAGCAAGCAGAAAAATAACATATCCCAGGCATCTAAAGGAACTTCTAGAATTGGGTAAAAGATGCAATTTCTTTTCAGTTCCTCTTCTGATTTTTTCTTGCTTCTCAGCCTCATCCAATCTTTATTTCTTCTGCATACGTTTCTTCCAGCTGCCATGTCAAAGACTTTTTCTTCCAGCTCTTCCACACCAGTTGATACCAGGCACTGCTGTAGGTCACAGTGGCTTCCATCGTCTTTTGGGGTCTCTTAGCACTGCTCAGACACCTGTCCACACTGAACTTCACAAATTTCACAGACTACCATTTTATGGATTCCTTGCCTGTAATGGCAATACTTGAACAATGGACATTTCAAGTCCGCAGAGTCAGGGCCTGCACATATTAAGCATAATACATGACAGAGTGCCAATTGAGGGAATTCTAGAATTTGGAAAAAAAAAAAAAAAAATCTACCTTCAAAACATCAAATTAAAACCAAACCAAAACAATCTTGACTCCCAGTACTTTTTTGCTGGAGCAACCTTATTAGCACTTACAAGCTTCTCCTTGTACTTACAGTAGGAGCAACTGAAATTGAACACATCTACTTATACAAATATATAACATCTCCTGGTCTTGCTCTAAAATAACTGGATCCCAGAACTGTTATCTGGACTGTTGCTAAATTACAGTTTTGGCTAAGCACAACTTGCTGATTTGTCCTTTCCAAAAGCTAGGGATACACATAAACCTGCTGTCCCCATGCTAGGACAATCCTGCTTTGGGAAGATGCCTTCTCAAACCAATTTTCTGGTTAAATCACATGCAGTTACTTCTGCCAGAAGACAGATATAGTTTCCGTCAAAACTCAGGCAAGATGCTGGAAAAATCTCCAAAATAGCAGTAGAAAGGGCAGGCCTAATGTTGTAATATTAAGCTAGAGATTCCTGCTTAAAATAATGTTTCTAACACTTAGGTAACATTCAAAATGCCTTATGAAAGGCTCATATAAATATCAGTGATTAGACCACTTTTTAAACAAGTGTACACATGAAGGATGCTAACATTAACCTTGCTGCCATTTTTAACTGGCTTTGGGGCTTTATCAAGGGCATGCTTGCATAACTCTTTCTACACTCACAGTTGTATTTTACTGGAGTTTTCAGCAAGCCCACAAAGGGTCCTCTTCTCCTTCTGCCATACTAGCAGTCATGGGACTGGAAAAGCCACAGCAAGTTCTTCTGACAGTGTAACCATTGATTATTTCATCATAAATAATAGTCATGATCAAGTAATAAACATCATAAGAAGGATGGCATTCTTCTGCCTACATAGATTTGGGTTTTTATTAATAAATATAAAGAAAAACTACATTTTACAATGTTTCTAGAAAATATATTAAACCAAAAATATACAAAAAACTCAAAATGTAAGAATTACTGTCTAGTCCAAAGAGGAAGCAATTTTATTAAACTAGTATAGCTCATCTTATTCTCAGTCCCCATCACAGATGGGACTGAAATGCAATTGTTTCTGGACAAAAATGTGACTGAAGTCTAGTTTGCTAGCATTTAAATTTGATTAGACGTAATAATATGTTTTCTTCAATTTGCTGAGCTTTGACTGTTGAGAAGACTAAATACAGAGAAAATATTTATGAAACTAAGAGGCAGAGCTGTACTTCTGAGTTAGGCAAATTATTGAGCAGTAAGTATCACATCAGAGTTATTTGCCCACTGGTGTGATAAGGAATACCCAGCAAATATTACTGGAGTTTTAATTTCCAAAGATTCCAGCAGGACAAAAGAAAAAGGCTCCGGCGTGAATCCCACAAAAAGGAGAAACAAATGGTACTGACAGGTGTTTGCTGATCATTAGCATTGGCCAGTTGGAACATTTATTGGTATCCAGAGCTATCCATTGCTCACAATGTGCTTTAGAAAAACTAGGTCCATCATTTTCACGTTTCAGAAACAGGCTCTTGAAAGACACAGAGGACTTGGTTAAATACAAAGGTTGCTTAAAAATAGACAGTTCCTCTAAAAGATATTTTTTTAGGAACTGGAGACTTAAACTCCCCCAATATTCATGCATACTACAACTTAAGCTGCATCTACAGGCTCACTTTGAACTGGCATGAACCAGTACTGCCACTGAACAGAGAAGCCCAGTCCAGCCCTCCTTTCTCCACTCTCTTATCCTTGAGTTGCCCTCATTCTTGTGCTGGCACAAGCACTTGAAGCAACTGTACTGTGACTCAGATTGGGGAACTGATCCAAATTAGTTCAAACCCAGATCAGTTGCCCGATTCAGTATACAGTCGGGTATGTCAGGGAAAGGGATGGAGAGGTGTCCCCAGAGGAGCTCCTTTCAGCAGCTGTGCGGATTTTAAGCATATGTGAAATGTAGCCTCAGCATTTGGGGCAAATTTTTGCCACGGTAAATAAAGTACTAAGTAAAGCAAAGGTAAAATACTAAGGTAAAGCAAAGATACAAACATAACTAAACAAATGTGTCCATGGCTGAGACAGATTTACTTATAATCATGCATGTTGTATCCTTATACTACTTACAGTGCTTATTAGAGGATTAAGTACTCTTCAACGTGTGTACGATTCTACCTTACTTCTTTTTCCTTCTATCAACACATCATACTATTTTAGAAAAACTTCATTGTGAAAACAAAGACAAATTATTACAAAAAACAATAGTGTACTTACACATTGCGACATGGAATAGGCTTGTAAAATCCAACTTCATGTCCTGTAAAGACTTTTTCTATGCCAAGGTGATCTTTGCAAGTTATATTTGGTGCTGGCAGACATTGAACTGAGGACAAAAAAATTATTTGAAATTAAGCAGTAACCAATTGGGTACTGTAGTGTTTTTCTGACAAGACACAAGTGAAATATACAAATGAAGTTACACTATGCAACAGTCTTGATACATAGCACAGTACACACAGACATATTACTTTTAAAAAAAACATATTTTTTTAAGCCAGTCCTATGACTAACTTGTCTTTCTGCATGATACATATTAAGTAAAATATAGAAACCTAATTGCTGCTCTAATTCTGTTGTAATTTCCTTTTTTGGCTCTGTTAACGAGTCAATGGGAAATCTGAACCTGACATACCAGGGAGGTGGTGCCATCACCATCCTTGGAGGTTTTCAAGATCTGACTGCACAAAGTCCTGAGCAACCTGGTCTGAATTCAGTGCCAATGCTGCTTTTGAGCAGGAGGCTGGACTATATGACTTCCCGAGGTCTCTTTCAACCCAAATTATTCTATTATTCTAAGCTAAGGTTTGACTCTTAAGAGAACCAAAGTGGAAATCACAGCAGAAAGTGACATCTGCTAAAAGTTTGCAATGTATTACCAGAATATTAGTCACTCTTCAGTGTTTAAGTCTGTTGTTTTAAAGGGAAGGATCGCAGTCCTTTACCCACTTTCTATCAGTTTTCAGTATTTGAGAGTCCTGTCGGCTGGTTCCAACAAAACAGCAAGCCAGGTTCAACATTTCTTTCCAGATTTTCCAATACTACCTACAGGCAAGAAGCCTAGGATTTGGATATGTATTTTTTTAAATATCTATCCATATTGCATAGGGACCAAAAAATGAAAAAAAAAAAAAAAAGAAAAGAAAAAACTAAATTCAGGCCATCAGTATTAGTAACAGCCAAAACCCATGAGCTATGTCTGGACTTAACTGCCATAAAGTTCTATATGGATCTTACTCATCAAAGTGCCTAACCTAAGATGACTACAAAAAACCTACATTCTTTGTTGTAACAAAAAAAACTAAGCAAAGAAAGCAGCACTTTGTTTTATTTAGAAGAAACCCACAGCAGTTTAAATATGTTGATATAGAAAAGGCCACAGCTTTCGTGTCAATGTCATGCCAGTAAGACTTGAAATCTGCTACTCGATGAGACTAATTGGATGCTTTGAATTAAACCCCTATTTGTTTGGGTGATGGATCCCAGAAAGATGTTCAGAAACAGTAGTGCTTCAAGCATGATCCAGAAGATTAACTTGTTATTACTTAGATAATACTGAAACAGGAAGCGACTCAAATACTGTGGGGACAATCTATACAGGCACAGAAAACAACATTAATTAACCTAGCAACTTTCCCCACTCTGAAGCTTATGTCCTGTTCAAATGTATAGTCTATTAAATACAATCACATGGTAACTGGTTAGACAACTAACAATTTGAGTTGTGATCAATCTCAAACTACAGAACATTCTTTCTGCTCACTGACTGGACATTGATAATAAGGGACATGATGTCAAAGATGATGTAAAGGACCGGGTAACTTAAAAAGGGATCCATTTTGGACAGTACTTTCATCCAGTCTCTGAAGAATTTGGAAAACCTTTACTATCCTTCAGCATCCCAGTGAAGAAAATTATTCAGCGTTTATAGAAAACAAAATATGAAAGACAACAAGCATACACATGTATTTTAAACATGAGTGCACATAAAGCAAAACTGTAGTGCTACTAGCTAACACAGAGACTATTTATTTCAATGCCTGAAAACATAAGAAAAGCTAAACATATGCAGTAAACCAAGTGATCAGTTTAAGCATTTTTCTGTTGTACTCCAAAGTACATCAGAATTTAACATCAAAATAAAAGTAAATGCTTTCAAAACAGAGCCTCATGGCACCAAAAACTCCCGATGATGGAAGGCACCATATTTCCTTAAAAAAAAAAGTAAAAAATAGATTTTGAAGGCTGTTCTGTCACGTGTCAATTCTTCTAATAAGTATATGCAAAATCAGTATGACAGGAACGGTTTGGTTTAATCACAGTAGTGCAGGGCAGAGCCTAGAGGATATAACATACATTGAAGAGATTTACCAGAAACCTCACTTACAAATGTACCAATCAGAGACAATGTATTTATTCATTTTTAGTAAAGCATCCAATCCACACATATGTTTTAGGCTTTCACACTAATGATATTACTAATCCCATGTTTTATAAAGCTCATCTAGCAGATACAAAAACGCATAAATTGAACACTTCCTTGGAAAATGTTGTTACTGTCAATATATGTCATAAGTTAGAAATCCTTACCATATGCTGTGTGATTTGTACAATTCATAGGTTCTTGTGTACTGTTGTCTATTTTAGGCTCATCACACATATATGTTCAGGTAATTGAGGAAAACATTTTTCATATCAAACACTACAACAGGTTTGACAGTAATTTATTCCACCCTCTTTAAACCCTGAGGATTTAAGATGCACCTTGATGTTAGTTCCTACCCATCCCCCAAGATAGGAACAGCACATTACCATACAGCAAATCTGCTAATCCAATTTAATACACCAATATATCGCATAAGCTCCACGTTTAATTAGTGCTGCAGTCAGCACTACCTAAAGGAACTACAATATTTATCAGTCACAGCCTCTGTATTTGAAGGCAACAAGTTAGCACACCTAATCCAGTCTTCTTCCCTTATTTCAATATCAGAGTACCTTTAAATTGAGGCATTTAGTTGAGAAGAGTAAATCTACAGTAACATACAAATTTCAAAGAACGCCTAAAAACAAACATCTGAAATGCCAGGAATTTGGACTAGAAAAAAAACCTGACCAGGAACTAATTTCCAGAGTCTGAACTCCCATGGCCAAGTAAAGCAGGAGATGAAGTTAACTTTTCCAAGATTTGCTTTCCTGACACTTTGGATCATCAATAACTGTCAGCTACCATCAACAACTGTCAGCTACCATCAACAAACATTTTCTGGGGAAGGCCTGATGCCCCTTTGGAGAATCAGGAGCCTCGCAGCTAGAGTCTTTAACACCTGCGCCCTGCTCCTTCAAACTGTGGAGGAGCACTCGACATTGTGCAAAGCCACCGCGTCTCACTCGAGTGTCCTGCAAAAAATAAGAAGGTGGAGGAGGGGTGGGGGAGAGGGGTCTCTCCTCCCGTGGGATCTTCTCGTTGCAGATCGAGGAGACACCCCAAACCTGCACACAGGCACACGCTGTACCACCCTCGAAAGGAACCCAGGCCGCTGCAGACGTGCCCTCTCCCGCTCCTTCCAGCTGAGAGCCCCTGGGGGCTCCTGACCCGAGGCTTTCTCCGACACCCTGTCAGGCACCTCACACCCTCCGCCTCCCCTTTCCCCCTCCACCCGAGGCGGCTGGGCAAGCGGCCCCCTCCCTCAGGCAAACCGGGCCCGGGGCGAGAAGCCGCCAGCCCCTCCGCCTTCCCGGGCCCCATCGCCATAGCAACCGACCCCCGCCGCCGCCGCCCCCCCAACCCGGCCCCGGCCGCCCTCAGGATATTGCCCCAGCCTCAGCTCGTCGCACTTGAGCGGCGGCTCCGTGCCCTCCGCTCCCTCCACGGCTGCACCCGCGAACCAGAGGAGAAGCAGGATCCGGGCCTCCGCCGCGCCTCTCCACCTCCCCTGCCCCGCCGGCAGCCGCCCCGGCCGGGCGGCCATGATGGAAACCGCCGCTGCCGTCAGCTGACTCGCCGGCCCCGGGGAGGAGCGGGCCCCGCCGCCGGGGGAGGCCGCCCTGCCTGCCGGGAGGGGCGTTCGTGGGCTGCTGAGGGGGCCGGTTTGGGATTTTGGGGTGGTTTGGGGGGGCGGGTTGACCTCGGCAAATATGGCTCCTGAGGCAGCTACTGGTCAGCGCTGAGGGCAGAGCGTGCCCCTACTCAAGATGGCGCTGGCAGGGCACCGGCGGGCTCGTGCCCTGAGCAAAGATGGCCGCGCCCGCCCCTAGCACCTGGCGGGACGGCGCCCACCTGCCCTCACTTAAGATGTCGGCCGTGAGGCGCTCCCCCTCGGGTTTGGCCCTCGGGCGGTGCGGGGGAGGCGATAAGCGGCCGTCCCGGCGGCGGGGAGCTGAGTCACCCGCGGGAGGAAGCACACCCGCGCCTGGAACCGAGCGGCGGGCAGGGGACGCCGGCAGCGGTGGGCAGGCTGGGCCGGGCAGGGTGAGGGCACGTCCCGAGAGGAGTGAGGTGAACCCTCCCTGCTCTTCCGAATACCGAAGCTGGTTTTTTTTCACCCCACCGGGTGAAATCTTACCTCTGGGTGTGAGTACCCTTGGGCGTCCCTGGTGTTGTCTGGAGTTTGCTGGCTACTTTCAAAATCATTTTAAAAAGCACAGAAGAGGTTAAAGGGATGGCCTGTGCTGCTCTGTGTCCTGCTGAACCGGGAGTTAAACCCGGGCTGGGGCTGTGCCCTGGCAGCCGCACGGGCCTTGTGTGCTGTCACTGCGTCCAGCAGTCAGGTCAAAGAAATAGTTTGAAATTGTTACTCTATTTTCACGTAAAATTGCGATTGCGTTGTTAAAAAATGCTTTTAATTTTATTTTTTAAATGAATACTAAATGCCTGGAGCAGGCAAGCTTTTATCTTCATCAGCGTTTGCTCTTTGTAAGGTATTTTGTGGTGATTACCAACCTTTTCCTCGTCTCACATCCTTGAAGGTTATTTCATGTTTTTCTAGTGTTTGGTTTTGAATGTGCCAGTTTTCAGTTACGAACTGCTGGGGATCCTGGGCTGTTTATAGGAGATGGAGAGACTGTTTGGGGTAAACTTACCCAGGAAAGGCAGCACTACTGTCCTAAGTTTACATCTGTTCTAGAAGCATTTCCTGGAAAACAAGTAGGGACCTAGAAACTGAAAAAGGCTGAAAGCAACTCCGAGATAGTATTTAAGAGAACGTCATCACTACCCACCCCTTCTGAAAGTTTTTTTGGTTTTATTGACCATTGTTTTGGTGAATGAATGGCGACTCGTATATGAGTCTGTCAGTACCAATGAAAGGTTTGTCACAGTCCCAGATATTCAAAGAATCTGTAAAAACATGGATTTAAATGTGTGGATGGCTGACAAAGAGCTCAGCCAGTGATGTGAAATATTGCCATCTAACAGCTTTTGGGGGGATTTGTGTAAACTAAATTGGCAGTCTAGAGTTCAGCAGACAAAGTATGCAAATGAAAATTGATACTCCTTTCAGCAACTGGAAGCGAAAGGCCAGGGCCAGAGTGCACTCGGTAATGAACTCAGCCCTCCGAGATCGAGACTGAGGTGCACTGATGAGAAAAGTGCTTGGCTCTTTTGTCTGCAGTGCATCTCTTGGATGGATAAATACACGACTTGCTGTTCATCACTGTCAAGAAAATTGTCACTTCTTACGAGCGCTACATTAATTAAAATTGAGAGTAAGGACTGGGAAGTTAGGCATTTGCAATCTGAATTTTTAAAAGAGGATGAAATGATATGCTCTTAGCATGTTGCATGCTCTAGTGCAGCTGCTATTGCTTAGTAAAACAAAACGGGCACTAGAACGAGGGGAAATTAATTCCCAAACCTCTTGTAGTCCTTATCCTGCGCAGCTAGCAGGGCTGTGTAAGATCTGCTGCAAATGAGTTAGTGAAACAGTGCAGCAGAATAAAAATTATTTTTGGAGAGTTTCATTTGACCATTTTATGTGTGTGTACATACCTATCTTTAAAAAATCTAAAAGCAGACCAAGATAGAGGTTTTGGAGGTAGAAAGTGCCTGCAGTTCCCACAATTAGTTTCAGCTACAATGTTGCCTGTTCAGTATCTGGCAACTAGCAGTAGGAAAACTTTGCTTTTATCACCATCCCAGGCAACGCGCCCTGTCTCTCGGAGAAGCCGCAGGTAAGGTGGCATGTTTCAGAGTGCTGTGGGGAGCAGCGCTGGTTGCGGTGAGCGCCGAGAGGCAGTTGTGCATCGCCGGTTTGGTGCTCTGTGAGGGAAGTGTTACAATCCCTTAACTCCGTCCAAGTCCCTGTCCTCCTATGGCTTTTGCCGTTCCCTTCTGTGGAAGTGGTAGGGGCCATGCTGCTGAGGCTGTCTCGCCTCTGTGGGAATCTGAGTTCAAAACAGCTCTGAATTCATGTTTGGACACCGATCTACTGCAGCTGAGTAAAAAATAAACTTTTCTATAAAGTCTACGCACATGTTTTGCCCTCACTGGGGAGTTTAGTGGCCATGTTGACAGGTATACTGTTTAGGCCTATGGTTTATAAATACGCCGCAGGTCAGGATCATCTGAAAATTGACCTGGCTCCCGAGCTCTGCGTTTCACTAACCAGCTTCCACTCGTCCCTGCGACCACACCACTCATCCTGCGACCAGACCGGCCGTCCTGTCAGCGAGCTTCAGCCCTGAGCCTCAGCCTGCAGGCCCCCCGCTCCCCTGCTTCCCTCTCCCCGTCTTCAGAAGTAGCAGGGAAAAGCCAGGCCCTGCCCTTTTCTGAGCCTCCAGCCGTATTCCAGTCACTCCTGCGCTTTTCTCCACAACACCTGACGGCTCTCCCCTGCTCTTCCGTACCGCTCTGCCTGGGCGCTGCGGGCCTTCCCCGAGCCGGGCAGGGGAGCTTTGCCGGC